GGAATTCGTCTTGGTGTCAGGAGCTTCCAGTACAGCCTACAGTCAATGTGCAGACATACATATAATTAAGGTAATAAAACACTAATAATAATAATAGAGTAATAATAAAATATTCATTCAGCCCATCTGATGTTTTTGTTTTGTGCAGTTGCTTCATGCTGCATATATTTTTGTTTGGTTGTTTGTTCAAGTTTAGTTTGGCCAGTAACAGAGCAAAATAAACATTTAATAAATGTAAAAATAAATAAATAAAAGTAATAAAAACTAAATAAATTGGCAACGAGTATGGGAATCGGCTCATTTGATTGTAAAAAAACACGTAGGTTACATAATGATATTTTAAAATTAAAAACTTAAATTAAACTTCTGAATTGAACTGAATTAAAAAATAAATTAAAGTTAAAAAGAAATATATAAAAATCCAAAACTAATAAAAATGACAAAAGCACAAAACAAAATTACTAAAACTTGATAATGATATATAAATAGCGATAGAATCAACATAGTTCTATCATAAAGAACATGGAATCTTTTAAAATATTTTTTTCCTGTCACACTGTGATACACTTAAAAAAAAAAATTATATACTTAAATACTCGTAATAGCATTTTTGGCAGCATAACTGCTAGAGGTCTGCACGGGCTTTAAAGCGAAGCCCGAACCCGGCCCGTACCCGAGATCGTCTGACCCGACCCGACCCGAGCGGCACAGTTAAATTTAGAGCCCGAAATCTTTTTTTTTTTTTTTTTTCCACAACGAATAGCCAATAAAAAAAAAATGCTGTATTTCACGATTGCATGCAACGGTCAGTAAGCAAATACATGTAAAGAAACAGAATCATTAAGGCTCGGCCAGTTCACAAGGCAAAAGAAAAAACACTTACCAGTTATGAAAGTTTATGAACATCAGGTGCAGCGGTCACATAAATTACAGCGATTTTACCCCCTCATTGCAGAGAAATATAACGTTGCGAGTCAGTAGCCTGTCGAAGCTATTTTACTAATAAAAGTTTCCGTGCTGTGTTGTCGTGTGCACTAATGTGTGTGCGTGCGTCTATGAAAGCAGCGTAGCCTGCATATAGTTTTAGTTTAGCTATAAACCCGAACCCGACCCGAAACCCGAAAGTATTTCGGAGCACGTCGGGCTCGGGTCGGGTAGCAGACCTCTAATAACGGCTTGAGTTGTTTAAGTTGAACCATTTTTCTTCTTTTGCACACTTTCCATTTATCATTGACGAGACATATCCAGGTTTTATAGTACTGTAGTACTTTGCGGAGTAATTTGTCTGAACAAAACAATATTTCTTAACGTGTGTCTGATTGTTTCTTGCTCAGGGGCAGGAGGCAGTAGGGGGAGGCGACAGCACGAGCGAGGTGTCCGTCTCCTGCTCCTCCACAGACGAGCATCCCAGCTCCTCGGCCGAGAGCTCAGAGGAGGTGCGGCACGGAGGGGAGGCGGAAGGCGAGGCCAAAGACAGCTTAACGGAGGTGCCGCTGCCCGCCTCTCTCTTCCGCTCCACCGTACGCTCGCTCTCTCCCTTCCGCAGACACAGCTGGGGTCCTGGGAAGAACCAGGGAGGGGAAGAAGAGATGAACCAGCGCAGGTATCTGAGATCATGGTTCTTATTAGGACCATTCATATTTTCTGCTTTGTGAAAAATACATTATTTAAAATAAAAGATTATTTAATATATAAATTATAATTTTTTTTGAAAATTTTATATTTAAACTAGTGCTGTCAAACGATTAATCGCGATTAATGGCATCCAAAATAAAAGTTTTTGTTCACATAATATATGTGTGTGTACTGTGTATATTTATTATGTATATATAAATACACACACATGCATGTATATATTTAAGAAACATATGTTGTTTATATATTAAATATATTTATGTATAATATAAATATATAAATGTATATATATGTAAATATTTGTTAAAATATATACTCTGTGTGTGTATTTATATATACATAATAAATATACACAGTACACACATATATTATGTAAACACAAACTTTTATTTTGGATGCAATTAATCGCGATTAATCGTTTTTGACAGCACTAGTTTAAACATCATAGTAGTATTTATTGTACTGGCTTTAATTAATAATGATAACAATATATTATAAGATAATTCTTAATAAAAATATTATGTCTATTTTTATTGAGGTGTGCTTAGTTGTCATAATGTTGCAATGCAAGACGTCTTAATGGTACTAACATAGGATAGACAGACAGACTACAATTCAAAGTTTTGGGGTCGGTGAGATTTTTTATTATTTAAAAAAAAAAAAATTTATGCGTTTGTAAAAAGTCTCTTATGCTCACCGAGGCTGTATTTATTTGTTTTAAAAATACAGCAAAAAAGCAGTAAAATTTTGAAATATTATTTTAGTTTGAAATACCTGTTTTCAATTTCACATGATCCTTCAGAAATCATTCTAATATGCTGATTTGCTGCTCAAGAAACATTTTCATTTATAATTATAAATTTTGAAATGGATGTGTAGATTAATATTTTTGTGGAAATGTGATAAACATTTTTTTTTCATAAATAGAAAATTAAAAAGAGCAGCATTTATTTGAAATAGAAATCTTTTAGCATTATAAATGTCTTCTGATCATTTGAATGCATTCTTGCTGAATAGAAGTATTCATTTATTTAAACAAAATTCCTGACCCCAAAACTTTTGAATGGTAGTGTAAATGTATATGTGTGTAAATAAGTCAAGTGTTACCAAATCTTTTTAAATAAGGGGTTTGTAATCCATTTGTAAGTGCTACAGCAATATAGTAAATGAATATGATGGAAATGTACATCTTATTACAGACGACTGCCCAAAATGTTTTGGGGTTTTCAGGTTTTGAGGCACTGAATTCACACTCTCTCAGTACACACTGAATGCTAATGCATTAGTACCTTAAACACAACACACCAAAACATGCCTTGCTCTGAGAATGACGCCACTCACACTTCTCCATCATGTGACACCCTCATGCCTTTGCATGCTTTTGCAGTCATTCTCACCTCGGTTCTTCCCTCTGTTACTCATTTGCATTCACTCTTTTTTTGAGAAGCAATTCCATACTTTACTAGTTTCACTTTTACCTTTCAGAGACTCTTATTATAGTCATAGTAGTTTATTTCCATGTCATCTCACTGCTCTCATCATCTTTCCATTTCCAGTTCTGTACGAAATACAGGAGAGGAAAAGCCTGTGTTTTACCGAAGAAGGTATCCTGTTTTCTTTTATATTTTTGAGTATTTTGAGATGTCCATTAATATCTGAAATCCTTATAGAGCATAACAGTGATTCCCATTTCCATGCATTGCATAAATCACAGTACTGAGAATTTGGCAGTTAAAACGCAAAGTTTTGTTCTGTTTAAAAACTAAATGTGTGTTAAAATAAATAAATATTTGCCAGAAGTAATAAAGCTATTAATTTTCTCCATACTTTTGCCCTACAGTAACCCAGTACTTACTATTTTTTTTTATTTAAATCGTTTATCTATCTATCTATCTATCTATCTATCTACCTATCTGTCTGTCTGTCTGTCTGTGTGTCCATTTTTTATAATTTATTTATTTGTTTTATGTTTATATTAGTTTATATTAAATTATTATATTAAATTAAAAGTACTGGGGATGGCAATTTAACCCGATTTTTTTGTTCTATTAAAAAAAATTATATATATATATATATTAGTGCTGTGAAATGATTAATCGCATTCATTTAATATCACGGCATGTTCTGATCTGATTCGTTTCGCCTTCAGGCACAAACACACTCTGATGTTTGTGGTTCTGTCAGCTAAAAAAACATATTTTACAAGCGAGACAATCAATAGCAGAATGTATGTCAGTATATATATATATATATATATATATAATGAATAGGATTTTAACTTCTGGAACCCTACTGTTGTGCTCTATTTGAGTGTAATAATCTATCCAGTTTCTTTCAACAAACTATTCACTGAATAAATGCTAATTTTTCCATTCTACTACCCCTCTAACTGGTTTGTGCCCACTGGCGCCCCCTTTTTTTGGTCAGTTTGAGCTGGTGCCCCAGTGAACCCTGTCGAGAGCTGGAAGAAATTAGAGAGCTCATCAGGTACTGTGTTGTGTGCAAGCTTCCTGTAAATCCAACCGGAGAGCCAACCCCTCTGACTAGCACAAAGAGCTTTTGCATCATCATTTGCATTACCTGTTTGCCAGAGCAAAGTGAAGCGTTTGTTTAGGCCTTATTCTGTGCTGCTTCAGTCAGCCTCGGTAAAGCTTAGAGAAATGATGGCTTTTAAAAGTTAGATGTGTTGCTGCCGAGATACTTAGAGGAGCTGCTTATTGCTGTATAGATTTTTGTTGTAGTTTTTTTTGTTGTTGTTGTTGTTGTCGTTACATGATGACTAATATTGTTGTTCTCGTAACCGGTCCGAATGTCAGGTAAGAGGATGTTTGTAACAAACCTGCTTCAGATTGTTGCACTGAAATGTAAAATAGTATTTAATATGACTGATTTGACATGGCTACAGTAGGTTACAGCATTTAAAGTCATTTTTGAATGTCAGATCAGTAAGAGATAATCAACATTTTCACTTGTGTACAGTGTAGTGTTTTTTTTAACTATTACATTTTTATTTATTTAGGGGTTAAAAATAATTGTGATCTTATTTCCAGTACACATACAGTATGTGTATATATATATATATATATATATATATAATATTCTTAGAGTGTGGTTTTGTTTTTTATTTCTCTTAGGTAAGTGAGTTTTTTTTATTTATTTCGAGGTTTGAATGTGGAATACATGCTCACGTATATATTAGCATCCCAAAACACTTCTCAGTTTGCCTTGGTTTGCTATTGTGCTCTTCACTGTGCTGCTTTGAGCTTGTGTTTTGTATATAGCATTGCTTCTAAGATAAGGTCTTGGTGTCTTGTACTAACAACAGCCATTCTGTTGGTGATTTTCAAATACTAGACTTCAAAGAAGTAGCCCAAACCTGTTAGCTTTGCATAGTCTCAAACCACCCAACTACATTTTGATACTGCACTTTTAGTACTTTTTGATGACTTCCCAAGAAGTTCTTTAATTTTATTTCAGTATTTAAGTAGCTGCACATCATAGTTATTTTCTAAAAGTTATTATATTGTATAATAAATGAGTTGTAATGCATTTTTAGTGTGGATACATCTGTGTTGGGTGGAGTGCAATATGAACATCCGCTTTGCATATTTTGCATCTGGTTGGTCAGTAGTACACCGCACACAGACACATGTGTATGCCTTTTTGGGTGAAAAAGAAACCATGTAAACAACATATTTATTTTGAAGTGATTTAAAAAATAGTGAGGGACAGATACACGGTCAATGCTGCAGGTTGTGTGAACGTCCAGAGTTCTCCAGATAGTTTTGGAAATATTAGAAATGATGATCAACAAGTACAAAACAGTATGTACTGCTGCACAGCTTTGCTTTTATTTGTGTCACTTTAAAAAAGACGGCTTTCAAAGTTGTTTCTTTCTTTCTTTTATTTTGTTTTTATACACTATTTTTATTAATTTTTATTATTTTAAATTTTTCACAATTTCTTTTTTTTAAATTATTTTTAATAATTAATTTTATTTTAATTTATTTAGTCATTTATTTGTTAATTTATTTATAATCATTTTATTATTTATATAATTTTTTATATTTCTTTATAATTTCTTTTCTTTTTTTAATTTTAATTTTATTTATTTATTTTTACATAATTTTTGTTTCTATTTTTTTTTTCTAAGCATAACTGAGCTCTTTTGTGATGTGTTCTGTTGTAGTTATAGTTTGGAGGGTCTAGCAGCAGGGATTGAGGATGGCAAACGCTGGATACCGCAGTCCGGAGGTCCATCCCAGGATCAGCGAGGGGTTCAGAGGCAGGAGAGTGAGGAGAGGGGCTCACTGATGTCTCTCACAGAAGAAGGTCCCGAGTCTGATTTGGGAGAATTCAGCAGTCCAGGTGGACAGGTAAGACCAGAGTCTCCGAATCGTGACATTTGGGTTAAAATACACAAACCGTTTGAAAGGGTTCTTGAAGCCAACATAAAAAACAACCTGAGCAAAATACTATGCATAATTCTTAGCGCTCTGTTTTCCTAAAAGCAGTAGTGCAGTATGTTTCCGTGTACTTAACTTAAGCACTGAGCATCTGAGTTTGTGATTTCAGAAACCGAGGAAGTACCATCAGTTCAGACACAGCGGTCCATCTGTGACTCTCCCCCTCACAAAATCAGTCTCTATGCTTTCCATCAGCCAATTGGAGAATCAATAAAGAATGCTGGGAAATTTCTCACAATAATAACAATATGATTTCATGATATAAATTTTATATGATATAGTTTCAAAAACTCTATATCGATTAAAATGGTCTTGCACATAGCATGTTCATGGCACCACGAGTCATTTTAATCTGGTCGAATTGCTTGACCAAGCACTAACTCTTTTTGCAAAAAGACGGTTTTGCATGTCAGGGCTGTACGTTAACTTTTTTTTCACATAGCACTGGTGCTACAGAGGTTGAAAGTTTTGTAGCACAGGCCAAAAAGTTGTAGCACAAGTATAAAACGTCTGTTATCATGTCTGAAAACAAACACAAGTAATGGAGTTCATCACTTAAACAGGCACCGATGTTCCATACAGAGCACAAAAAATACAAACCATCACAAAAATTGTGACTCCATCATTGTGCTTGTAGGCATGACGTCATTCACCAGTACCACCAGTTCAATGGGATACAGGTAAGACGCTTATTAATATTTTGGCTCATTTCATATTGACATTTCTGGAAACACTGGAAGCACAGTAATTCATGCCTTTATATCTTGGGTTTTTTAGCATCACAGAGGAGGAACCTGGACCTTTAAGAGGAGATTTTGAAAAAAGTACCACCAAAGTGAGCCGGACGTTCAGCTACTTGAAGAACAAAATGTACAAGAAAGCCAGAGTAAGTCGTTCCAGTTTCTGGCTTCTCTAGATTGATTATATAACAGATTCTGTGCTAGAAACATCTTTTTCTCTCAGAATACCAGATTTTTCGTATGAATTCTTTGTTTCAGAGGTTGTACGAGTACAGGTGGTACCAGTATAACATAATTTGTTTTCCTCATCTGGTTTGTGTTAGTCGTCCTCCACCCATTTCTCAGGCCCTAAATCATCTGGTTTAATAAGTACTTGCTCTGACTTTTCCATCCCCGATGCGGCCGCCCTGCGATAGGAAGGATTCGGCGAAAGAGGCAGATCTCTTTTACCTTCAACCTCTCCCCGCTCCTCCCCAACTCTAAAACTGTCTTTGCTGTCACCTCTTCATCTAGTGATGAGGAGGACATCATAAGTAAGTTGCAGTAAGAACTGGATGTACAAGAAAGCCAGAGTAAGTCGACTTTTGTGGTCTACTTTTTTTCCAAGTCATTTCCTCTCTACCAAGAATGTAGATTAGATCATCTGTTTTATTCATACTGATGACTGGGTGCGAATTATCACCTTGTCAATCAACTGAAAGACAGGAATTTACTCAAATGAATGAAGAAGTATATTGTGTCAGGTTCTTTCTGAGCACTAGAGGAAATAAGACAGGAAGAGGAGGCACAATAATCTTTCCACCTTTACTGTTAGCTCAGCATTTTACCCTTTTAAAGGGCCAGTACTTTATTTACAAACTGCAGAGACATAATGTGCAGTGGGGCACAAAAGTAATAAATATTCAAAATAATATTGTATATGTTAATGTTTATAAGTACTTGCTCTGACTTTTCCATCCCCGATGCGGCCGCCCTGCGATAGGAAGGATTCGGCGAAAGAGGCAGATCTCTTTTACCTTCAACCTCTCACCGCTCCTCCCCAAATCTAAAACTGTCTTTACTGTCAGCTCTTCATCTAGTGATGAGGAGGACATCATAAGTAAGTTGCAGTAGGATCTTCAGGATAATAGCATCCTCAGCATAGTAACCTCCAGCGTCTCGTCCCTAGATGATGTCCTGTGACTCACAGCACAGTAGATGTAGAGAGAGATGAAATATGCTAGCCACCTTTGAAACCTGTCCCTCATATAGACCAATACATTTTCTGGAACAGTTTTCAACTGTGTTTTGGGGTTACTAAGCCACATATTTAGAAATAAGGAATAATGGAAATCCAGCATAGCTTTCAAAATGTCTTATTGAAACTTGGTGTTTCATATGATATCAAATTTAATAATACATATCATTTTCAAATTTATTTCCCCTTAGTTAATAAATTAAAAAATGTCAGTATTTTCCTCCATATAATAAAAGTGTGTTATTATATGTATACAGCATTTTACCCTTTTAAAGGGCCAGTACTTTATTTACAAACTGCAGAGACATAATGTGAAGTCGGGCACAAAAGGAATAATTTTTTTGAATAATATTTTATATGTTGATTTTTTTTTAAAAATATATATTTTTAGGCTACTTTACATATATCATTTCTGAATTGACCTCCTATTAATACGGCTGAAATTATTGACCAAAACAGTGCTATATTGACGCATTTTGATTGTAACGGCGTCTGTTTCATGTACACAGCTTGGATACGCTATAACATGTAAACATGTCAGCTGTGTAGACGCATTTTTACACGATCAAAAATAATGCTAGATGTGTACAATTTGTTCAGCTGAAATATTGAGAGGCTGGTTTAATTTATCACCTAATGAGAACATGACACCCTGAAAAACATTCTGAGTTCATTTACCTAATTACCTAAATTTAATGACCAACATTGTATTTTTAGTTTCCGTTTTCATGAAAACATTAATTTCAGTTTTGGTAAAAAAAAAAAAAAAAAAAAATCATAATCACTAAACATACTGTATAGCTTCAGAAGATGTCTATGAACTACTTTTATGGTACTTAAGGCTGGGCGATACATTGAATATTAGCCATATTATCACTATCTTTGCGGACTATATAAAATTAGGGAAAATTGTGTAGCGTTGTACTTTTTAACAGTAGCTGTTCTATCGAGATCATGTCTTATCATGGGGCGCAAAAAATTACCCTTTTAAATTTTTGAGAGGCAAAGTAAAAATATCAATATATACAGTATAAAATATTGAGAGATAGATTTTTAGCTATGTCACCCAGCTCTAATGGGACTTGTTTTTGGAGTTTGAGAGCTATTTTATTTTATTTTATTACTATTAACTATTACTAATATTAATTGCATTTTAAAATAAATATTTATAATCACATAAAAAATTAATTATTAGAGCAGACAAAACCACTCATGTAAACATTTTATTTTATTATTTTATTTTACTTTATTTTACTATTATTAATTGCATTTTAAAAGAAATATTTATAATCATATAAAAAATTTATTATTAGACCAGACAAAACCACTCATGCAAACATATTTTATTTAATTTTATTACTATTAACTATTACTATTATTAATTGCATTTTAAAATAAATATTTATAATCACATAAATTAATTATTAGAGCAGACAAAACCACTCATGCAAACATATTTTATTTTATTTTATTACTATTAACTATTACTATTATTAATTGCATTTTAAAA